GAGTAAAAGATGTTCATGACGATTTCATGATATATTCTACTTCTTTATGAGCCTAATGAAAAGTCGGGAAACCTCGTAAAATGCTACAATAAAATTATCGTATGGTTTTTCCGTAATGTTATAATGCTCATTTAAACTTTTATAAAATCTGGAACTCTTGGTAGTATCGAAATAGCACTCTGTACAGTCATAACTACTCGAAGCTCCTGTCGCTGATCTATTTATCACTATCGTCTATGAAATTGTACAAAACCTTCACTCACTTGAAGTAATATTCTTGGTGGACCATGCTATTGAGTTCGGTGAAAGAGAATGAGCAGATTTAATTTAAAAGACCATTTTTATGCTTGGAAGATGTTATCTACCAAAATCTAAACGAAAAATCAGTAATTAATTAGGAGAGTAGTACTTTCTGATTGAAGACATTACTAACAATGCTAATGTAATACTTGCTTTGACATCGAAAAGTTATCATTAGTCCAATTTATTGAAAGCGCTGCTTGACATGAATCAATATTCACATGAAAAAAATACAATTAAAATTAAAAACACTAAAGAGCACACTCATCTGTATGCATCAGAGCTTTCTTTGAGAATCATAGCCACATTCATTCATAGAAGAAGTTGAAAAGCTGCATGTGAATAAAGAAAATATTAGAGTTAATAAATAGTAATCAATATGATTTTCATAAAAGATTCTTCAATATCGTTCAAATCAAGCGTCCTGTTTGAGTAAATATAGTTCAACGAATCTAACGCATAGCTTCAATAACAATATCTACTATTGAACACTGGTCTTCTAAATACAATTGATGTTTCAGTCTTGACACTTTCTCTGCATTGCACTCGATCAACAGCATCCAGCTCAAAATTGGAAAAAGGTGGGAGACATCGTGAAAGTTCTTCTTAATGATGAAAATATGGCATAAATATCGGAGAAACCAAAGCCTACATTAGTGTCTGTAATATGTATTTAACGGGTTTTCTTACTAAAATGGGTAAAAATAGCAATCCGGAAGAATGTTAGCCTATTTCAGTTATTGATATTGCTATATGAACGAGAAACAATCGCTTAAGTAATAGGACTCTAATCATAAATCCTGGTAAATCTTCTTCTGCATCTAGCTAGACAACAAATCCTTCTCGAGAAAAAAATATATATATCTGTGTGTGTATAAACCTATCTGACTTATTTCCTTGAAATGAAAGAAATGAAATAGAACTAACAATCATAGTTATGTTTCATTGTGTTACATGCAATAACATAGTGGAGAAAATCAATTCATTGAGAGAAAAATTGGGAAATCTCAGTTCCCCTCTTCCTCATTGCTCATCTAAACAAAAGCAGACAATGTACTGAGAAAAGATAGTAGTTTGATACGCGAAGAATGTTTTTGATGCATTTTCACAAAGCAAAATAGTCAATTATGATGAGAAACCAAACTTACTCGTCATGATGTTGAACGATACATGATGATTCCGAAATACACCAAATTAGAACAGCGCTCTCTGCGAACACTATTGAAAATTAATCTTACTCATCTAAAAAGAATTAGCTATTGAAAAAACAACGTATTGAGAATATTTGTCCCTACTTTTCTCAGTAAAAACGGCTTGCAGTAGAATTACTTATCACGCGTATCCAATCAGTATGTTGAGAGGCACAAGTTGAACGGAACCTGAAATGTAAAAAGAAATAACAGAAGACCATAATCATGGCTGTCGTTGATAATATAAACAGACAAAAGAGACTAATACTAAAAAGATGCATTGATATACGTATAAGAGAAATCTTTTAAAGAATTTTTTTGAATATACAGAATGAACTAAAAGCACAACTTACATTTATATATCGTTTTGTTTCATATTTGGAGATGGCCGGAAGCTGAATTGATCACGCAAAAACAACCCGGCAATAGAGGTCCTGTGTAATTGTTGTTGTCGATCTGAAAAAAGAACACAGTTTAAAAACGATTTTTGTGATATATTAAGGGAAAAGATTTTCATCACTTTAACCGATACAAAAGACGTTGGCCTGCTGAAAAGATAGTTTTGAAGAACAACTTCTTGAGAAGAAAAGTTCGCCATTCACATTTTAGCAGTTGTTCTTGTAGATCTAAACACAGGAAAAGATTACTAATAAAAAAATATGCCGATATATTGAAAGAAATTCTTGTGACTTCTGTTACTGCGGAAAACCTAACTGAGGTCGTCAGTTATACCTAACGATTAGTTTCTCAAAAGATGACAGATACCATTATAGTGATTGATGGAGGCAGAAATACGATACGGAAAATTTAGTAGTTGTTCTTGATGACCTGACAAAAAAGAAAAAGTTATTTAGTAAAAAAGTAGATTGATATCTGATGCATCTCTTTCATGAACTTTTCTTGAATAAAGACAATATGAATTCAAATTAATAACGTACTTACGTATTTTGTGGTTGACATCAAACGATGTGAGAATAACAATCGATAAAGAGAAAAAACCTGGTGCCGAGCTTTTTTCATTAGTTGTATTGATCTAAATAAACAAGAAAACCCTATTAATGAAACATTACATTGATATAAGAAGAATATTTTTTAAGTATTTTTGAATATAACAAAAATGAAATAAAACTATAAATCATACTTACATAGTAATATATTCGGTATTTCAAGATGAGTGAAAAGTAATTCAACTAGAGATGAAACACAACAGAGAAGCTTTAGCAGTTGTTTTTGTTAACCTAAAAACAAAGAAAAAGCTCTTTTTCAAAAAAAACTAAAGAATAGATTGATGCGTGAAAAATCATTTCGATGAATTTTTCTTGAATAAAAGCGAGATGAATTGAAATTACTAATCATACTTATCCTTATTATATTTGGGATTAAGTGATGAAAGAATACCCATCGATTAAGAGCAACAGTTGATACCAAAGTTTTGTTCATTAGTCGTGTTAATCTAAGTAAATAAAAAAGCGGTATCAATGAAAAATTACATGGGTATATGATGAGTCCTTTTTAGGAAATGTTTTCGAATATAAAAGAGATGGAGGAAACTATAAATGATACATACGTACTAATGTCTCGGTATTAAGATATGAGCAGAAAATAATTCATCAAGACACAAAACATAACATGAAAGTTTTAGTAATTCTGCTTATTTATCTGAAAAAAAGGAGGTAGTGAAACAATAAGAATAGATAGATGCCTAAAAAAATATTTCCGATACCTTGCTTCAATACAAAAGACAGGAGTAAAATAATTTGTAATATTTGTGTACTTTTGCGTAAGAGGACGAATGGAAGCGAATCTGTGAAGTGAAAAAAAATTAACGCCTAGGTTTTATTAAATATTCTGATTCATCTGAAAAAAAAGCTATTTTTCAAAACAAAAACAATAGACAAATACCTGAAAAATCTTTTCCATGTACTTATGTTGAATATATATGACATCAGTTGAAATCATTAAAGATACTTATGTATTTGATGCTCGATACTAAATCATCAAAAGGGTACTAATATATCAAGAGGAAAACTTGGTGGCAAAATTTTACTGATGGATCACGTTGATCAAAATAAATAAGAAAAGACTATTAATGAAAAATTCAATTCATATATGAAGAATCTTTTTCAAACGAATATTTGCCAGTCGAAAAGAGATGAAGTAAAATTATAAATCAAACTTACATACTGAAATCTTCAGCGTTTTGAAGATGGATGGAAGATAACTTGCCAAGAGAACAAAACACGGCACGAACATTTTGGTAATTGTTCTTTTTGACCTGAAATAAAGAAAAACTATTNAGAGCTTCCTTTGATAATCATAGCCACATTCATTCATAGAAGAAGTTGAAAAGCCGCATGTGAATAAAGAAAATATTAGAGTTAGTAAATAGTAATCAATATGATTTTCATAAAAGATTCTTCAATATCGTTCAAATCAAGCGTCCTGTTTGAGTAAATATAGTTCAACGAATCTAACGCATAGCTTCAATAGCAATATCTACTATTGAACACTGGTCTTCTAAATACAATTGGCGTTTCAGTCTTGACACTTTCTCTGCATTGCACTCGATCAACAGCATCCAGTTCAAAATTGAAAAAAGGTGGGAAACATCGTGAAAGTTCTTCTTAATGATCAAAATATGGCATAAATATTGGAGAAACCAAAG